CGTCACTGAGCTGTAGGTGGTTGCTGTGATTTGGATTTGATCTGGCCTTGATGTTCGTTTCCCGTTTTCCGTTAGTTTCGCATAAAAACGTGCTCGATATTTCAATTCCCATTCGTCGTTTAGGTGGTCGTTTAGCTCACCTAATACAGCCCTGTTAGACTTCTTTATAACCACTCGCGTTTGGAAGATTATGTGTTAGGAGTTGTTGGTAACGGATCTTCAAGATTACTGAATTAAATCAAAGATTGAATATGATAATTGGAATCTCACTAAAAGGCACATTTTGTGTAATCTGACTTTCATATTTTATGTAATCAGAAGTAAAACCTTTTTCACTCTGTGTGAAATGCGAAAACACTCGGAATTAACTCTAATGGTAGCAAGTGCCAGCAGCACTACTCCTTGACAAGACAGTGTTTTCTGAAAGTTACTCAAAAGCAAGCTGATGGCTGTTTCGCGTAATGCAAAAAATCACTGCAGATAGAAGAGAAAATAGCAGAAGGTGGTAAAGTTCTTGTGCACTGCGTTGCCGGAGTATCGCGATCAGCTGCAATTTGCTTGGCCTTCTTAACCAAGTATCGTTGTCAATCACTTCGTGAAGCTTATTATTTAATGGATTCCAAAAGATCAATGGTTAGGCCTAATATCGGCTTCTGGAAGCAGCTGATTGATTTCGAAGATGTAAGTTAATTTTGCACTCTCAGTATATTAATATGGCTTTTGTGCGTTTTTGCTGTGCGACGCTGTAGCGCTGTTACAATAGCAACAAAAAGTGGCGAGCACCAGAGCAGCAGGTGCATTCTTGCGCTTTGTGCAGTTCTGTCCATCGAATGATTGACTGCATTGCACTTTGATCTGTGCAAAAATAATTGAAATATTGTTTGTTTCCTAAGTTGCGGAATTTTTCACTAAAAACTTCACGCACCGGCACATGAAGGCTAAATTTGAAATCTCGAGGGGTGAATATCTTTTCACAATTTCAGTCTCCTAATTTTATGGTTTTCGGATGATTTTTGCGGCAAAACTTTCACGTGTTCATACGTGAGACCTCGGTATACTTTGGAATTGAATTCGAGTTTGTGAAGCCTCTGCTTAGGCAGAAAACATCCTCTTGAAATTTTCACGCTCTGGCTGATAACAATTTTTTCCGCCAAAGCTTTCATGGGGGCGTTGAAAATTTGCGAAGTCGTACGTGGACACGGAATGCCACGCAAAAATTTCAGGTTCCCAGCTTACGCAGTACCCGAGATAATTTCCCCGCAGAAAATTTCACGGGGCCGTAGGTGATACCCGAGAGCGCAAGGACGCTGAATTTGAATTTGCACGATCGTACATGGCAAGGGGTCGTTACCCTAAAATTTCAGCTTCATAGATATTGTGATCCCGAGATAGCAGTTTCTCCGCCTAAAGTTTCACGGAGTCGTGCGTTTTACCCGCGGGCACGGGAAGGCTGAATTTAAATTTGCAGAGCATACTTGGGCGGGGAAATGCCCACAAAATTTCAGCTTCTAGCTTTCGTGGTTCCCGC